AAAAGTGAGTTTTTTTGCCTTGTAGCTCCCTGAATAGGCTTATACTGCGAGGTCAGATGAGGTCCAGTGCAAAGGAAGTGATGGGAAATACAGGCTTGTAGGCAGAAGCAGCAAGAGGCAGCAAGATAAACTGCTAATCTGAGAAACTGAACTTTTAAGTTTCACAGTGGATAGCCTCAACTGTCAAAATGCTTCCAGAAGGTGCCTTAAAAGGAAATGCACAACTCACAATCTGTACAATACAGGCACTAGAGAACAGAGAAATCATGACACAAAAATTAATTTAAGCAAACATAGTGACTACAAGATATAGAGTAACAAATGTGAAAGTACTGTACTTTGGTCTCAGCATTCAGCCAAACCACACATCATCAGACTTATGCCTTCACAATACTGACTTTGCCTCTTTTGCATAAGCTGCAGTGCAGATTTTCTCCAAGTCCATTACCTTCCTCCCTGCTGTGACCTGAACAGACACTTTGACAGAGCAAAATTAACCACAACTCACTGAAACACTGAGTTCCCCACTCAGGCACAGTTCTTCCCAAAGACAACTCATCCTCCTGACTGAATTTTAAAATATATGCCCCAAAAAAATAAGACGTGAAGCTCAGTTTGTGGGTCTCTTACCTTGATTCTGTTGTCTGTTGGACAAGACTGGAGAGCGGAACCATTACACTGATTTGAATCTGCTCCTGCTCTTTGGGGTTGGCCTGTGACCTTCGGCAGGGGGTAGCCACTTCCATTGGGAATCTTTCTAGCTGGTGCTTTGGAATCACAGCCCTAAATTAGGGAAAACCAGCTTGTCACTGCCTTTTTGTCAGTGATGAATGAACATGAATCAGGGTCAGAAATCCAATCTTCACCCTTAATCCTTCTGTTCTTACAGTGCAAATCAGCAGCTTTGGTACCCTAGTTTAATAACAAAAACTGCCAGAAAGCAGACAGATTTCAGAGAGCATTGTGACATCTGCACCTTAAGACAATAAGAACAAAAACTTCCCCAATCACCAAGAGAAGGAAAGTAGGAAGAGAGAGGAGAAATTGGAGTCACGCCCCCTTGGCACAAGGCAGGTTCCACTGCAAAGATGAGGGACTGAGCCTGCCACTCCTGCTAGCAGCTGCCCAGAGAAAAACAACTCCATCTGGGCAGGGGATGGGGGAAGAAGCATCTTGTTCTCCCCAGTGCATCAGAATAACTAAGTTTAAAGAATTATTCTATAGCTGGGATGACAAAATGTTCATCTTGGACTTCAGTCTCTTTCTGTAAATGAGAAGATTAAGTTCCTTTCAGACTTTCAAGTCTCATGTTGAGTCAAACTAACACCTAATTGGTCTTATGCAGTGCCTGATCTGCAGTTTCATCTCTCAAAAGCCACGGCACAGCAAGGACTGAACAGTCTATAGGAGTTGCTGCTAGGACTTTTGCAGATGTCTGAGGACTAGCTGCTCTCCTCCATCTTGGAATTACCTTCTGGTACCTTTGTCTACATTGCCCCTTTGCAGCTGGGTGACTCTCCTCTGAACCGTTACTTAGTATTACCTGGCCAACCAGAAACCCATTCTACCACACCAAGTTACCTGAACAAAGGCCTGGCCCAGGCCACACCCGAGAAGAGTGGGCAGTGAGGAACACCTTCCACAGAAGGCTGGTCTTCGTCCTGACTGAGGAGCCAGAAGGGGAGTGAGTCACGATGGCTCAGTGGAACATGCATCAGCAAGCTGTCATGCCTCAAAGCTTACTTGAGGAAAAGCCTCACGTGCAAAGCACTCCAGCTCCCAGTCCCCATACAAGGGGAGCTCTCGTTTACACATACCACATCAAGAACACAAGCAGCCCAGGTAAGAAACCTCAGCTAAAACCACAAAACCAAAGCCTGGAGATAAAACACCTTCTTCTAGAGCCTGGTGTCAAAGAAGTGGCAAAAAGCTCCCAAAGGGCATTGACAAGCTACTCACAGCTCCAGTATCATTTGCTGAGCCTGTCAGATAGGACAGATGACGTGTTTAGTACAGTGCTTCAAATGTAACAGCACTGCCACCCCTCCAGCTTCTAACTTACCACACCAGGGCATGCTTCCTCTTCTTTCTCTAGGAAGATCTTCTCTAGCACCAGGAAGGTCAGGAAACCAGTGATCACCCAGAGACCCAGAAGCTTCTGCTGCTGAAAGCTCTGCCCTTCTCCTGAGGTACAAGAGAGAAATCTTCATTGTCGTTACCAAGTACACAGTGTTCCCCACATGTGAACCTACCCCACCCCAGACAGTTTAACCAGCAGTTCCAAGACAAGAAATGACAATGGAAACACTTCCTGTGAGAAATAAGGAGCAAACATGTCTCAAAGCAAATTAGTTTAACTTGGTCATTATTGATCTAACAGATATCGTCATCTCAGGACACTCAGAGCAAGAGCCCCTACCCCTTTAACTTCTACAGTTTAATCTAGAATATTTCCCAACAATGCTGGGACTTTCCCTGAGCTCCGGAGGCAAGTGAAGATTACAAAAACAAAAATCCTGCAGCTATATCTACTGAGCAGCAAGCCCTGACATGAGATCTGCCACTAGTGGAGCTATGGATTCACCTTCCCCTTTCTGCCACACCTGGGCAAGTTATGAAGCCCAAAGCTATAAACTTTCTTTTCAATTACAGCCAAGCTTGTGAGATAATCATCCATTCAGCTTGGCGGCAGAAATGAAGATTGCATTGCAGTGGAAGAACAGAATGACTCTGTAACGGGGCTTACGTGGGTCAAGGAAACCTTTATGCTTCAGGACAGTCTGTCAGAAGTAAACAAGCTAGAGTAGGAAGATGGAGTCATTTGGGAACGACTGTAGAAAGAGGAACAAAAAGGACAGCAGGTTCTGCTGGCAGTGCTAGAGCAATGAGGAAGAAGACGACCAAAGGCCCAGCAGATCTGAAACCCCAGGACATAGGTGCTAGGAAGTCTGCGAAACCCAGGGTATCCTTTTCCCTCGCTCATGTTTTCAGGGGGAAAATGAATTCTTGGTTTCTCAACAGGTGGGATGCAGCAGCACCTGCCTTCTAGGCTATCGGTTTGCCGAAGCAGAGAGATACAATCACTACAGGTTTCAACAACCCCGGCTATCTGAGGGGTGAAGGAGATGCCCTGATACCACAAGCTCTGTCCCAACACAAACACTGTTTAGTCTGCTGGTAAACACAGGTTTCCATCACCTGCATTTCCTACTTCTCTCTTCCCCCTACCTTAGTCATGCCTCCATGGTCAATCTTCCATGACTTCTCCTTGACCAAAGACTGAGAGGGCAACACGTTTGGGCTCCCACAGATCAAAGTACCAAGCAGAGGGGCTCCAGTTAGTCCCAAGAAAGAGGCTCTAGGAGTTAACACTGTTATAGGGATGGATTCATAGACAAGATGTATCTGATGAGGCAGAGTCCCCACCTGAGATGGTGCACATGTTAATGTACCAGACCACACACACGTTCATAACTTCCCGTCAGGTTAAAGAAGCATTCTCTTTCCTTACAGGAAGGACAAAGGAAAATCAGAAGAGATTTATAAGGAGTCAAGGCAAGACAGGAAAAGTTGATAGACAAGAAATCCATTGCAAGTTACTAAACATAGAGAAACCATAGCCAACTCAGGAAGCCTCCAATCTCAAAATCTTTGGAGGACTGCAGAGTACAAAGAGTAGTTATTACATGTGTGTTTACTGTCCTTCCCTAGGTATTTGCTTTTACACATTGCTTGAAAGAGAATACCAGCCTAGATCAGTTTTTGGGCTGACCAGCCTGGCTGGTCTTGTATTTTCAAGATGGAACACACTCAAAAAATGTAGCCGTAGACATAGCACCAACTGTTTCTAGGCATATCAGGCTTTCATACCTGTTGTTGCACTGCATGTGTAGGTCCAGGCTTCAGGAAGCAGGTGCAGAAACACATTCCCCAGTAGTCCACCAATTGCAAAACTCAACAACTGCTTCAAACGATGTGACCCAGCTGAAGAAAAAAAAAAAAGAAGAAGAAAAAAAAAAAAACCACCCCGCCCAAACCACTTATCACAACTCAGCTGTTTGCACACTGAAAGCATCTACAAAGCAAGTTTTCAAAGGAGAGAGCACAACACAAATAGCTAGAGGGCAAGAAAAAACCTGTGCACCACTTGGCTGGGACAGCAGTGTGTAGGAGCGTCCTGGACGAAGCAGGGTGCAAAACAAACAATACTCTTTGTACGAGCTCCATCCAGGGCTTGCATTTGTCCAAAGACTCCGTACCAAATTGGCAGATACAGACTAAAGCACCAGAAACAGACTATTTTAAATGATAGTATTTCTGTGACAAGATCCTTTTTGTCACTGTTCCGTTCAGTCACAAATCAGGACTTGTGGCTGCAGAAAGGCTAACGCAGGTAGCAGGCTTACCTTCTGACCGCAGAGCAGCTCCTGTCTCAAATGGGATCACCAGCAAGGGGAAGACCCCACTCAGCCCCACCATGAACGAACCGATGAGGGAACAGATCCAGGCATCCAGCCGCTCGCTGCTGAAAAGGTTTCCCCAGGACTCTGCTTCCTTCTCACACACAGGACCAGAACTAGCAGCAACATGACTTCTCGGGAGCTGCTGAGCTTCACAAGCCACAATCAGAAACAAGGAGAACGTCCCGTTGAGCAGAAGCTTTTGTTTTGTCATCGCTAAGTGGTCTCAGCCGGGCTGGCTGACCTCTGAAAGAGGGGAGAGCAGTTCTGAGAGCATGCCCAAGACTCCCTCCCATCATCCCGGAGAAAATCACACCATCCCCTCCCCCAGCATCTTAGCACGGGTATGTATCCCCATAAGGAACACCTGAAACTCTTTCTGACTTCAACACAGCATTAAAGGACAGAGAGGCTGTTTATCATTGGGTATATGAAACTGCACATAAGACATCTTGTGAAACAGCCTGGCTTTCAGCATCTCCCCTCAGGTAGGCTGGACAAGGACTCCAAGTACCCTTGTCCTGCCCTTCAGTGTCCCAAGGCTTCAGAGAAAGGTGCTGACCAGAGATGCTACCCAGATACGACTTCTCTTTGCCATGGAACAGCATCCATGTAATAAATGAGGATGCAAGACAGGCAGCATAACAGAGGTCTGTAAAATCATGAGTGGCATAAAGATGGTGAACAGGGCTAGATTATTCACTGTCTCTTCAGACGTAACTGCTAACAGCCATCACATGAAGCCAGTGAGGGTCAGCTTCAAAACAAAACAAACAAATGTGACTCTTCATTAGCAGAGAACTAGTGTGGTAGTACTTCTCCAAAAATGATGGAAAATTTTACATCGATTCAACAAAAGACAAGTACTAGAACAACAAATCTATTGGTTGTTCATGGTTAGACAGCTCACATTAGACTCAGGAAATCCTCTTATCTGAAAGAAGCTGGGGGTTGGAAAAGTAGTTGGAAAATATCATATACACTTGTCCTATTTCTATTCTTTCCCAAAAGGATACTGGGTTATATGGTCTCTTAGTCAAAATCAGCACAGCTGTTACTAAGAACTCTTCAGTCACAAGAAAACTGGAGAGAAGTGGGCATGTTAGAAGGAGAAAATAATTACATACTCCCATTGGCAAACAGGAAAGGAAAGCAAATGATGCAAAGGCTGAAGTGCTCCTTCGGTCTCCAGAAGAAAAAGTGAAACGTGACAAGCAAAATTAATTTGGAAATGGGAGAAAAGAGCTGGTTAGAAAAGAACAGCTTAGCAAGTGTTCACAAAACAGCTGTAGATTGAGAGAGAATAACGGCATTCACCTGAAAGCATGTAAGAAAACAGTCAAAGTAATCTCTGAAGCATTAGTGACCATCTTTGAAAATTTACAGGAATATGGGAAGGCCACAGAAGGCTGGAGAAGCATCATGCCTCACCTACCTTTATAAAAAGAAAAAAAAAAGGTGGGAGAAGACTTAAGAAGTTACAGACCAGTAACTTGTAACTTCAATCCTGTGACAGATTCTTGATCAAGTTAAATGATAAGTTTGTAGTTACCTATAAGATAAGAAAATGATAAAGATAGGAAAGCATTAAGTAACAGCCAGACAGGAAGGGGCCTGAAATCATCAAGACAAAATTCAGGGTGTTGGAACCAACCTAAGGGCTCACTGCAGCTGAAAAGAGTGGTGTTGCCCCTTGTGTCCCCGTCCCCCCCCGTGAAGCATCCCCTTCCCATGCTCACACCTGACTCCATGAGTGAGTGAGGTCAGAAGAAATTAACAGGAAAAACTATTTATTTTAAAGGCTTGGCCCTTTTCCAATTTCAGTCTCTGAACTAAATCACTGCAGGAGGAAGGCCCAGCTACAGTGAGCAATCAAAAAGAAAATTAAAGGACAGGGTCCCCTGGTTCCTGTGAAGGAGAATGCC